CGGAAGAGTTTGGAGTAGGGGCAATGCAAATGGATCGTATTCTGAAGCTCTCTCTGGGTTTCCTGCTTATAGGCTCAGGTACATTAAAGCATGGTTTTCACTTGTTGTCACATTTCACCCAGTTATGTGTTAAAAAGACTGGATTGATAGCAGGAGATTTCATTTCGAGGGTTTCTGCTTATAAGGGATGGACTTTTCTGATGCTTTTTTTTTACCTTGATTCTGTCAGTTCTTGTCTCGGCTGAGGAACTCGATTTTGGTCACTGCGAAACAGTTGTGACAAGGTGGGCGGATTCTTCTTCTCTCGAGGAAAATGTCAGCGAGAACAAACGCTCACTCCAGGACTTGCTGTTCTTTCTCCATGTTCCCCGGACAGGAGGCAGGACATATTTTCACTGGTGATTCTCTTACTGGTTTCTAGAGTAGATTAAAAGAGTGAAGAATGAATTTTCTTTCACCATTGTTTTCATTGCCATGCTTCCTTTTTGTTACCGATTTTGTAGTTTTCTGAGGAAGATGTATGATAGCACAGATGAATGCCCTCGTTCTTATGACAAGCTCCACTTTGATCCAAGGTACTTTCCGTCAATCTAAATTCCTCTCTTTGAAGTCTATCAACTCCATCGTTGTTCTGGTCATCTGTTGTCATTTCCACCGGTTGCTTGGATGCCAAGACTTGTGACACTCGTGTAGACAGGAATACAGTTAATACAGAAGCTCTGCTTATGCTGTTTGTACTTTCTGTGGACTGCTAGAGCTGACATGCAGATGGCTTAACCTAACATGATATGCACTGGTAGTTGGCTCAACCTTGCATAGATGACTTAACATTTGTCATGGTTCATATTTTCTAGCCTCCTTTTGTTAAGGAAAAATAAATAGAGATGGCTAGAACAGGTCAGTTACTTGGTAGAGTTATGGTACTAACCTGCTTAAATAATCTAATGCTGTTATCCAGTCTAGTTTCTGTCTCTTTATTGTTAGAGATATTTCCTTGGGAAAACTTGTCTTGTTATATCTGGGTTCAACAGATTCTTATGAGTATCTGAGTTTTGAATTTTTTTTAGAAAGTTTCTGCCATTGCTGAATGTTAAGATCGATTGTCTCATATATTGTGTAGAAAAGCTAAGTGCAAGCTGTTGGCTACGCATGATGACTATAGTTTGATGTCAAAACTACCGAGGGAGAGAACTTCAGTGATGACAATCGTTCGGGATCCCATTGCTCGTGTATTGAGTACCTATGAATTTTCAGTAGAGGTTGCTGCTAGGTTTTTGGTGCATCCCAATTTAACTTCTGCGACTGTGATGTCTGCACGCATAAGGAAGCCAAATGTCATCAGCACACTAGACATATGGCCATGGAAATATCTAGTTCCGTGGATGAGAGAAGATCTGTTTGCTCGGGTAAGTATGTCTTCTTTCATCACAAAGCTGATGAGTTCTGAGCTTATATATGTATGACCAAAGCCCATATTCTAGCTTGAGATTTATGTTTAGTCTTTTTCGAATGTGAATAGCGAGATGCACGGAAAGCTAGGGAGGTCGTTATGATCGAGGATGATAACCCATACGATATGGAGGAGATGCTTATGCCATTGCACAAATATCTCGATACACCCATAGCTCATGACATAATTCACAACGGAGCCACCTTTCAGGTACTTTTCATGCTGCTTTTCTTATGCCATTCATTTCTAATTTGTTGGACCGCAGTTCTCAGTACATATTCATTTTGTTTCACAGATTACCGGATTGACAAACAACTCTCATTTATCAGAAGCACACGAGATCAGGCGATGCGTGCAGAAGTTCAAAAGCCTTGGTGAATATGTACTTAAAGTTGCCAAGGTAACTAAACAGGGCTAACCCATTGCAGGTTGATAATGCTTTCTTTTCTGGTATATCTTTGCAATATGATGCTCGAGGATTTTGAATCCTGCAGAGGAGGTTGAACAGCATGCTGTATGTTGGACTGACAGAGGAGCATAGGGAATCAGCTTCTCTTTTTGCAAATGTAGTCGGGTCTCAAGTGCTTTCTCGGGTGGTTTTGCATGATTCAACTGCAAAAGCCAAAGCTACTAAACCAGGTCAGTGTAAGTTTTCTCACTTTTAGAGGTGTTTTAATACAATTTATTGTGAATATTACTCATTTCTTTTCTCTACGCATCTAGTTCCTGTTGGTGTGTTTACACTTATTCAATAGTTAATTATAATTTCTCAAGAGTTCGAGGATTGATTGTATGACATGTGAATGAATACACAAGTGAGACTATCTATTGCTTTTGCTTTACGTAAAAAGTCATGCTAACAAAGTTTACTGACGTGCCCCCGGGTACCAAACCCTAAACTTTTTTTTCTTGATTCTTCAGAACCAAGTGTCAAAGTCTCAGAATCAGGGTCGGAGGATGGTGAAAGTCAGGTAAAATCCAAACTCCATATCACAACTGTTTCTCGGTTGTCAATTAGGACAGTCTTTTCTTTTTGCTAACAGTGTGTCTGTGACATTTGTAGAATGATACATCTAGAGTTGCTTTGGGTAAGGCAGAGGCTAAGAGTGGGAATGTAAGTTCATCTTCTGAAATTGAAAAACACCATAATTCCTTTTGTATAAATCACTATGGGGTAAATGGATGCTTTGTTTCAATCAATTAAACCTTAGATGACTGTCAAAACCCTTATGGAAGTTTATGAAGGCTGCATTTCTAATTTATGGAAGACTCAAGCAACAAGACGCGTTAATTCCCTAAAGAGGATTGCTCCTGCAAATTTTTCGAAAGAGGTAAGTGAATGTTGTTATTTGTCACAATGATTTAAGCTGGTAAACTAAAACGAGATGGGTGGCATGAATCTTTGAAATCTCTATTAAGATCTTGCCATGAAATTCTCTGGAAAATTTTCCAAGAAATCGTGTTCTTGATGCTCAGTGATGCATTCATTTTGCAGGCACGCAAAAAGGTTCCGGACAAGGTTATTCAGCACATAAGATCGCTCAACCACCTTGACGTGGATATCTACGAGTATGCGAAAGAAATCTTTGCGAAAGAACATGAACAAGTTTCAACAAAATCTGTCTTGACAGTAAGTCTTTTTTCGGTCCAAAGATCAAAACTTTTGTTCTTAAATTACAGGCTTTTGTTCCCTCAGTTCAAGAAGAAAACTAGAGCCTCTTCTCCTTGAAAGTGTTCATTTTTTTGCATCAGTTAGGCGATTGCTTAGATACCCTTGATCTAGAATGTTCTAGGAGGAGGCTTCTCGTTCTTTGAAGTGTTTGCGTCTGCGTTTGCGTATGCATATGCTCTTCAACCCGACATTGTTTCTTATCAGTAACATTGTTCATTTTCAGAATGAGTTCAGGAGCGTGCTTGGAGAATCGGACGATGACAAGTTGTGGAAGAAGCTCTTACCGTTGGCCTTGCTGGTCTTGTTACTCTTCTCCTTCTTTCTATTTGTAAAAGCTAGAAGAAGAACCTCAAAGGTTAAGATTTGATCGATTTAAACTATTTGGGCCGAATTGGTAATTTCGAGGAGTTTTGGGTCCCAGATGCAATATCTTATCTCTCTCTTTTTTTTTCTTCTTTTGTTTGGAAAGAAAAAGTTTTGTGTTGCCTTACCACCGGTGCAAAAGGATAAATCCGCTGTGAAAAAAGTATTGTATTAGAAATTAGTTTTAAGATTTACATTTTCGGCATAATCTCTATCTATTATCATTAATAACTTTATATTTATAAAAAAAAATGAATAGTTTTACAAAATGTAAACTATGTTTTTGACCCACTTCGATCCTCAGAAAATGTCACCCTAAAATGCACATTAGTTTTGCTTTTTATCGACCCAAAGTGAGGAAAAGAAAAGGAACTTTAATTGTTTCACCGTGTTTTATATTATATCTGATTTAGAAAAAAGAAAAAGGACACATCATGTGGGAGCTTGAGACCAAACTACTGGGACAGGGACCCACTTCCCCATGCCACAAAAATCGCGTCTCGTCAAGTGTCGGTGATCTCTCCGTTTCACTTTGGGAAAATATATAATGCTATTTCCCTAAAACTAACTGTTAAATAGGGTTAATTAAAAATAATAATAATGATGATAATTCCTCTAATAATTTGTGCCAGATCCGACCCACGAACCATCCTCCCATGTCACATGATTTGACATGTGGACCGTTCATGTGCCTTTGATATCTTGTTTTCCTTGTAAACTACTCGACACTGTCACATACTATACATTTAATACTATAACCATTGATATTTATATTACCATGTTTAAATAGTGAAAACTATTTTTTACCAGTGACATATGATTCAATAAAAATCCTAATAACCCTACGAAAATAAACACTAGAGTAGAATATGTTTGACTATTTTTTTTTCTACTAGCAATATGCATATGTTCTTAGGTAATATATAGAGAATTTTAACGTTGAAAATTAATATGCATATATACGATGATCATATTTTTAAAGATTTTCTTTACAGTGAAGAATTGTTGAAATCAAAATCAACATGAAAATTCGAACTTCTTTTTTTCATTTTTTTATAACCCCAAAAAAGAAGAAAGGTCTAGTCACACTGAAACCTCCAATGTACGTTACCACACAATAAAGTTTCTCGCTTTCTCTATCTCTCCTACCCGATTTCAGACCTGCAATCCCTAAATCCCCAATTTCGGACAAGTAGATTCGTACGAATCTCTCTATCTCTCGCCGGGGAATGCATTCGGTATAGTCAGCTGTACTGGAAGATTCGTGCGTCTCTCTACCGCTCTCTCGCGCGTTCCTTCTTCCTCTCCAGGCGGAGTTTCCCGGTGATTTTCCTGGGTTTCTCACCTCTTCGGTGCTCGGGAAACGCGAGAGAGGTGGCTCGTGGTTTTCTCATGAGCCTAATTTTAGTTTAGTTTAATGATGTAACGTGAAATTTTCGTCTGTCTGCCTTCAAGAATCGGCAGTGCTTGTAAGAGGAAAGAAATGCTTGGTTGCTTTTACGACGTAAACGAGTTTTTTTTTGCCATTTATGATGTTGTGAAGAAACTGTCTTATGATTATGCACGTCTCTGTCAGAGAGATGGAGTTGTGGGTGGAAACTATACGGGAAATGATTTGTAAATCCTTCATATTTACGCCAAATTTCATGCCTGAGAACTGCACTCCGAAAACTAGGTTAGTCAGGCACTGATTGATGATATTTACTGGTAATGCCAAATTTGATCAAATGAATCTATCCCCGGCTTGATAGTTACTGGTAAGGCCTGGAACCTTAGCTGTTTTAGTCTTCTAGATTCTTGCAGGTTCTTTGCCGTCGGTGCTATAAATTGTTGTTGTAATCTTACCAAAGCGCGCCTTTTCTTAGGCTTATGTGACTCAGTTGTTTTCTCTGTGTGATTTCCAGCAGTGGGTACCATGAATAATGGTTCTTGGTTGCCCGAGGTCGACTTCCAAGGCCTCTCGGATGATTTCTTTGATGACCTCATGAATCACATTGATTTCCCCTTAGAAGACGTGGAAAGTGGCAATGGTGAGGGAGATTGGGATGCCGGGTTTCAAGGCCTCGAGCCTCCACTGATGGATATGTTCTCGACTTTGTCCTCCGGCCTCAAGCGTGGTGGCGTTAGCAAGAGCAGTGGTGTGGCAGATCAGAAGCCCATACCCATATTGGTGAGTTTGCACGACAGAAACACTTGTGTTGGGACTATCATATTTGCATCGTATATTGTTCAAACACGATAGAACATGCATTTGCATTAGGACAACTATTTGGTGTCGCGTTTAGCTTTTTGGTTCGAACCTCGTCACCTGTCATTACTTTTTTTTTACCCCATTAGGTCATAAAAGAGTGAAGAGTGTGGTGCAACTACACTAGACACTAAGCATTACACATAATATGTCGTAGACAATTACATGTTTGTAGGCATTATATTATGCATTGTACGTCATGGATTGTATCGCACCATACAACTCATTTGCGTTGGGACAATAAAATCTTGTATTGTAGTGGTTTTACCGTTCAAGCCACGTCGCCTTTCACTACATTTTACCACACTAGGTAAGGAAAAAGTGCAGAGTATGGTGCAACTACACTAAGGCATTATGCATATTACATCATAGATTGTTCACTACTTTTGACTTTGGTGCATTTGTTTATAGGCATTATGCATGTTATTACGTCATGGATTGTGTCATAGAATAAAACATGCATTTGCATTGAGCCGATAATTTTGTTATTGCAGCCTACCCTTGTGGTTCATGCATATTACATTACATATCGTAGACTGTTTTTTACCTTTTACTTTGGTCCACACGTTTGTAGGCATTATGTATCTTACGTTATAAATTGTTCACACGATGCAACATGCATTTCCATCAGGACAATAACTTTGGCATTGAAGTTGCCTGTGCGGCTCAAACCACGTCAGGTTTCATTACTTCTTACCACATTAGGTTAGAAAAGACCGAGAAAAAGGGTCCTCTTTGTGGTGCAATTACAGATTTATATGGAACCAAGGAGGTTAGAAAAGACCGAGAAAAAGGGTCATCTATGTTCTTGTGAATCTGAGCTAGAAATCTACTGAACCGTGCATATGATTGTTTGTGATTGTCTAAATGTGTTTATGACCATAATTGATTGCATTTCTTATCCAAATTGTCGGGAACAGAGCTGAGTGTTTCTGCAGGAATGATTTGCTTATCGAAAAGGTTTTAATTTTCAAGTAACACAATCTGTGGATTGTTTGTGTTCCTGTATTTTGACAGTTAGTTTTGGCTTCATGCATGCAGAAACAATCTACTAATTCATCTGAATCCTCCTCTGTCATGGATAGCTCTGTCCACCAATTCGAAGTTAAAGTCTCGAAGCTGTTTCAGTCTTCAAGCCCGGTTTCAGTCCTCGAGAACAGCAGCAGTTCTATCTCATCCCAAAGCTCCAGATCACAAGGACTGTCCTTTCCTGTCGTGAAGGGTATGAGAACCAAACGCAAACGCCCCTCAGCTCTGAAACTCAGACTTCTCCTCCCATTTGAACCAGAGCACTTCTCTCCGGATGAATCAGAATCTGAAGTCCACTTTCCTTCAGAGAAACCCGACAAGAAGAAGCGCAAGAAGCAGAAAATCCACCCGGCTCGTGCCAGTTCAGAACCGAAAAGCACGGAAGGAACAATGCGGAAATGCACGCACTGCGAGACAACCAAGACCCCGCAGTGGAGGGAAGGCCCAAACGGGCCAAAAACCCTATGCAATGCTTGCGGTGTAAGGTTCAGATCCGGCCGACTTGTTCCAGAATACCGCCCGGCGGCCAGCCCGACCTTCATTCCATCAGTGCACTCGAATTCACACCGGAAGATCGTAGAGATAAGGAGGACTAAGCAGTTCGCCCAAGACACGGGATTGATCCACACCGTCACTTCCCAAGCGTAGGCCGGTTGATCCGATGAACCGGCTGCTCTTCTAAGCTAGGGTTAGTGTTTGTTTTTAGTACATCTGATCTAGAGAGAGAGAGAGAGAGAGAGAGAGATTAGGGTTTTTAGTGTCATGCGTCGCGTTGCATTGCAGATATGTCTGCAGTTGCAGAAGAGATCTTTGGCAAGACATTTGTTTCATAACCCTCTATTATTTTATTCGTCAGTCAGTTCAGTGGCATACAAGTGTATCGTCCTTGTGTTTTTCTTGGTCAGCCTTTAATAGCCAAGACTAATCCATGTTTAGAATAAATTTAATGTATGTTATTAATATTCCTTTTTCTGAATACTTTGTTTTTGTTTTGTCTGATTATAGATTTTTTGTTGTTGTTGTTGTTGTTGTTGTTTTCCTGTGTTGAAGCTCAACTCAAATGACGCGAACTTTGGAGAGGGAGACAGATGGGCCTTATTATTTAGGCCCATATTACATTGGCCCATGAGCACATGTATCATAAATACACCTTTTGTTTCCAAATGATGTTGCCGCTGTGAGTTTCGGGCCCAACCAATTTTATTTCCAAATTCAGATGTCATGGAATTACAATAAGGGTACCGAAAATGTATGGTTCCGTTCCGAGCTAATTTTTCATATTTATAATCGCATGATATCGATACAAATATCCAAATAATATTTTTGAACCATGTTTTCAAAATTAAAAATAAATAAATAAAAATGACGTGTAGGCAATGACAAATGTATACATACTTGGAAGACATATTCTGAATATTGTGTGTTGTCAGACTTTTTACCATCTTTATCGGTCTGTCCACCTGAAAGTTTTATTTTCTGTCGTCAATGCTGTGAAAGTTTCATTTTTTAAAATAATTTAAAATACAAAAAAGATATGTACTTGGTAAATAATTGTTGACGTAATGAACAGAGATTTCAATACATCATATATATATATATATATATATATATGATAGAGAGAGAAGAAGGTGAAGAAGACAAATGAACAGAAAGTGTCATCTGAATTTGAGGACACAACGACAGAGATTCCCCAGACCCTGTTGCCTTCCTCCTCTCGTGGGACCCATGCCTATTTATCTTCTTTTTTTCAAAATACATTTTTCACCCCCAAACAAAAAAAAAATCTGAATTAATGCGAAAAAAAAATCCATCGATCCATTTGATTTTCGTTTTAATTTAAACCCAAAAAAGAGAAAAAAGAAATGAATTATTCGCCAATCATGACGTCTCTTAATTGTTTATAATTAATAAAAAAGAAAGAAAAGAATCGGACAAAAGTGGGAGACAAGAGCCAACGGTGATGATGATGCCACGTGGGAAAAGACAGACGCCAGATCAACAGCCACTCAATTATTATTACCTCAGCGTTCGGTAGCTGTTCTCTGTAGCTGTCACGAGGGCTTTGGCAAAGATAGGCGCACGTTAACGTCTCATCGAAGTGCATGTTATGGTGCGCTTTCGGCGCAAGATAGCTATTATCACGTCCTTGTCAGTATTGGGCCCATTCTGGCCCATTCACAATCAATATGGTATGTTTTTTTTTTCCCACGCCCTTTCTTAAATGGGAAAAGACAAATCTTCTCTCCGTATCGATTGCATCATCAAATGAAATTATAAAATCAATTGATAAAATAGTATTTTCCGGATCTTTATTTTATTCTTCCTTACATCACTTTTTGGATCATTTTTGTGTGTATATTTAAAAAAATTAAGACTCTTTTACCAAAGTATATAAAAACAAAACTAGTATGTTAGAATGTGCATGAAATAAATCATAGAATCGGTTATATCAATTTATATATTATAAAAATACAGTTTAATCCTAAACCAACTCAAAACATCTAATAAGGCATATAGATTAGGGATTGTATGTGTGTGTGTATATATATATAGGAGAAAAATGAAAACATATGATAAAAGGAGTGATATATAAAAGAGTGGGTGAATAATGAAATGGTGGTTAAGCATTTGGTGAGGAATAAGAAATGTCATGAGATATGTTTTTGGTTGTTGTCTCTTGCAGCGACACTTCTGTTTCAGTCGGAAGGTTCTCACGACAACGACATCACAACTTAACTCCACTCACTCCCATCTCTTCATTGTTACTTATTTATTTTTTCCCCATTTCATAATAATAATAATTGAAATCAGAACTCATGCCGAGATTCGCCAGAAAATTGACCGCGCCATGCGAGATAATCTACTAGCTATGAAGGAATCAACCCGGAGAAATCCGGATAACTCATTGCTCGAATGTTGGTACCGTTTGACGCTAAATTAAATTCAGAATTTAGTGGCCTTTTGTTTTTACCACTGTCACATGGGGTTTTCTTAATTTTGGCCAAGAGCCTTTTTGTATTCAGCCTTGGCTTGTAATTTTTTTTTAAAAGTTAATACAAAGCACATTTACACCAAAAAAAAAACTTTTTGAGTTGTCTATTTTGAGTTGTAAAATCATTATGTTACAAAAACGTTATAATATTGTTTGTGAGTTATACTCTTTCACATTCAGCCTAAGTTAATTAAAGTAGGGAAA